TTGGAACTCTCTTCTTCCTCGCCATTTCCGAGTTTTCTCTCGAGTTTTCTTTTAAAACGTAGTTTGACATCCCTAAACATGTTCTAAACTTCAAATACGCAATGAAATCTCGATTTGGACCACCACACATTGAAAATGAGATCTCACAAATCCAACTGAATTATATTTAAAATAAATGATTTTAATTTTTTCGCGATTTTATATTTCAGAATTTTTCAATTGTGATTTTACATGTCCAGGTGGCACAACCTCTAAGCGGAATACAGGTTACGGATGTCACAACTTTCGTGGCAACTGAATCTTTAAAAAGATAGGAGAAGTGCATGTGAATGACGCTCGCTCTCTAAATGGACACTCAAACATGTATTAGAAGTAAGTTTCGCTCCTTTCTTTACCAGTTGAATCACCTAATTTTGTGTTATATACATACATATATACATATAAGTTTATATAGCTCTAAAGAGAAAATATTGAATCATTCAATTTATTTCTGGATACATCATAGAAAGAAGTTCATTCAAAGGCAATTAGAGTTTTGACCAATTCCACCGAAGAAGAGGTGTGATCCCAACTTAGGGTCAAGACGGTTATAATGTAAATTGTAACACCCCTTGTCAGTGACGAAGGGAAAGCCTTTTTCGGGCTCCTTCTTCAGGTTCCGCTGGAGTACGGTAATGCGGCTTATTAAAGCCGCCTTCCCACGACCATCCTCCGCGAAGCGGCCACTTCCCATGCAAGTGGAAGTGTGTCGCCCATTCTTCCTTAGATTATTGATCTCTCCTCCCCATACCGCTTTTGATGCCAAGTCCTTTAGAAATGGAAAGAGAGAATTCGGCCAATAACCGACTTGGCGATTATTGGTTAGGAGCCACCAATTTCCGCTTATGGGATCCTACCATACATCAAGCAGTTAGTTTATCAATATATGATGTGCAACATGAATTAGTTCGCATTTCTCCATCTTTTTAATTTGTTATACCTTCCTTATAAGAAAGATGCATTTATATTCCGGACCACTAATTGTTGAATAGCGGTTGAAGGCCGCACCAACGGCGGTCTTGCTGCTGATTTGGACAAAGCCCTGACATTTGAGGTCGTAGCAGCCTGTTTTCTCGTACCCGTCACCCTATTTTATTGAGTTTTCCATTAATGTGATCGTGGTACATAAGGATATGTGTGGCTTAATAGCTAGGCCATATATGAATAGGGAAAAGGACCGATAAAATATTTGATGAAACTTACAGTCCAATAAACAAAGAGTCTCGGGTTTCCGTCGCCGTACAATATTGGATTTACCTATGAACAAAATGCAGGAAGAAAGATCGATCATCACATGTTATTTTTTTTTTGAATCATGACAGAAATATGAAACAAAGCCTATGAACGATCGAGAACCTGCCAACCCGCTTCCATCACATTAACTCCCTGCTGATTAGAACCTTTGCTAGAAATCCACATCTGGCCCGTACTTAGTTCATTATACTGTTCAACATATGGTTTCCACACAGTGATCCAAGCCTCGCTTCCTTGGTAATATTCATTCTCCACTACCAACATGGCATGCTAATGAAAAAAAGAGTCAAAATTAATTAAAAACAAACATATATATGAGGATTGAAAATTTGTGAAATTGCAAATGAAATACTAATAAGCTTCTCGCAATGTGTACCGTTGGCCCCTAATTCAAAGAAGAACTCGAAAAATTGAAGAAAACTCTAGGAATGGCGTCAGAAGAACGTTTGGAAGGGACTCATACTTCAATTTTTTTTTTAATTGATTTTGCTTAGTATTACAAATGAAGGAAAAAAAAGACTATTTATACTCATTTCATAACAACTATTCATAAATGTCCTAAATAAAATATTTTAATATCTAGATTTTCTATTATAATATCTTAATATGTCGTTATAAATATCTAGATATTTTTTTCTTATAATATTTTAAAAAAAAATTAGGTCAGAAATTATTTTTGGATTTGGTCCAATTTATTTTGGATCAATGATCCAAAATCAAACTTACCCTAAGATTCATTTGAATGACATTAAAACTTAATCAAAATCAACTTTAACCTCAACAATATACCTCGCGTTTTGCCCATATGTTTTGAGTTGGGTGAAATCTAGATCCAGGGATGCTATAATTTGAATCTTTTTTCCCGTAATTTTTTATGGAACCCCAACGTAAGAGATCTTCTATTGTTGTTCTTCTTATCGGAATGGTGTTCTCTGGGCATTCTCCGTTCCTATGCCATACTTGAGCTATGCCATCGGTTTTTGATGAAGGATCTTCTTGGAGAAAACTTGGTCTCAACTATTTGACATTGTTCAGATTATAACGACATAAGAAAATATTCTGAGAAGAAATAGCAAATCAATGCTTTAGAAGTGAAAATATAAGCCAACAACATAAAATATTTAAACGGAGACATGCCAAAAAACTTCTACAGATAAGACATACCTGAATAGTGTGGTTCTTTAATAAAGGATGGTCGAAAGCGGGTTGATTGGTGATATGAACACAATCTATTATATCTCCATCTGGACTCTGTTTAAAAGTAAAATAACAATTTAAGATTAAATAAAAAAATATGAACGGTTTTCATCTCGTGACTCAGTTATACAAAAAATGTATAAAAAAACATTTAAGAAATCTTATAGTTTATATATGCATTGAGATTACTAACCTTGATAGATTTAACAGCGGGTTTGTTGATTAGTTCCAAGTGTCTTTGTATCTCAACCTCTTGCAGTTTTGAAATATCTATCTGTGCAGAGGAAGTAGTGATTATCAACACCGTGATTATCGGAAACAGCAGCAAATTGATCCTTCGATCAACAATGAAGACATGAGATGCCATTAAGAAAGACAAAGATCAAAAGCTTAATTTGAGATTGTTGGTATAACTCTCGTTTCCAATTGTTTGGTATTTATAAGCATAGAAATAAATATATAAGAAAACATAATACAAATTCAAGGATTGTTTGGTATTTTTCCATACGTGCAAGGGTTATAAAAAATAACTAAAGTATGAATACTCACAAGTTACATAATATACTAGAATATTAGAAAATTGGAAATGTTCATAAATATACCATAATTTACTCTCTCGTTTCCAATTGTTTGGTATTTATAAGCATAGAAATAAATATATAAGAAAACATAATACAAATTCAAGGATTGTTTGGTATTTTTCCATACGTGCAAGGGTTATAAAAAATAACTAAAGTATGAATACTCACAAGTTACATAATATACTAGAATATTAGAAAATTGGAAATGTTCATAAATATACCATAATTTACTAAATATTCAATTTTAAAATTGGTGCATGTTTGTGGATTTATAATAGTCAATTCGATCCATTCATACTAAATAGATAATAGAAATACCAAATGTTTGGGATTTATAAGCATAGAATCGGTTCACACCCCAAACAATCGGATTTTTTTACCATACGATATAGGTGACTTGGTGCATGTAACAAATCAGTTATATTTGGTATTACTGGTTCATTTTATTGATAACTAAAAACGAATATTTTCCAGAAGAAGATTCTAATAAACATTTTTATTAAAATGAACCGATTTTTTACTTATTAAACAGTTTCTGTGAAATCTTAAATAAATATCCAATGTAGATTTAAAGAATTATACAAAAATATTAGAAAATATTATTAAAATATTATGTAATGTTTACATTTTAATTTATTTTTATATTATAAATATCTGTAATAATTGAATAAGATGCAACACAATTATATGTAAAAATCGTTTTGAGACACATTGAAAAATCGATGGTCGATTCACCGGTCAAGTTTTATATGCATTTTGGAAAATATAAAATAAGTACCAAATTTTGTACTTATTTTCCTTCCCAAATATAATTAACTAAATTATTGTTTACCTAATCCTAGATATTTTATATGTTAATGATTATTATGTGGAATATAAATATTTTATTTTTAATTCTGTTAATTTCATATTGTCGGTAATGATGGTTTGTTGCTTCAAATTGATTAATCAATTTTCAACGATTTGTTACTTCAAATAGATTAATCGATCTTCAACCACTAACACATAGAATAGGGGTTTGTTCTTATCCCATATCCCATATTCAAACAGCGGAGGGAGGAGATCCGCAATTTAATTCTGGTACACAAACGGTCTACGGGTCTTGAGAAATATAGTCGAACCAACTTTTGAGTTAACAAAAAAACACACACATAGATTATAGTATGTAATTGCATTATACGAACGAGAAAACAAAAAATATTATTTCCGAAATCTTTGTCATTACTCTTTCTTTTACCACGGATGAATCCTTTTGTAATGGGTAGTTTGATTTCTAATCTGTCTACGTGGAAATCCACGTCATCATCAATGAGGTAAATTCTAGCCGTTGATATGAGTCACCACATGTTTTACGTCATTACTCTTAACGGTTGGATTGATATGAGTAATGAATCAAGGAATCTTAGATTAGTATCCATAAATATTAAGTTTAATATTATTTTCTCATGCAACAAAAGTTGTATATGCATTTTGGAAAGTAGAAAATATAAGTTTTGTACGTACGTATTTTACTTGCCAAAAAACAGTTAATTAAATTATTGTTGACCTAATTCATATATTAAAACCAATGTACAAGAAACGTCAGTAGATACAGATTCATCGGGTTCAAACCATGAAGTTTTAAAGTGTAACAACCCAGTTTTTCAAAAAAAAAAAAACCTCGGCCCGTCTGTTCCTGGAGAGCCCAGAACGGACGGACCAGACAGGAGCGGAACGTCCGTTCCAGACAGTCTCGGAACGGACAGACCAGACTGTCGGCAGCGACCAAAATCGCGGCTTTCGTCCGGACGAACCTGAAAACGACCCCTGTGCACTAATCCCAACCAGAAAACCAACCTTTTGACCCTTGGGCCCGATTTCTGTCGAAACCATGCCATTTTAACCCCTCTCCGGACGGACCAGACAGGAGCGGAACGTCCGTTCCAGACAGTCTCGGAACGGACAGACCAGACTGTCGGCAGCGACCAAAATCGCGGCTTTCGTCCGGACGAACCTGAAAACGACCCCTGTGCACTAATCCCAACCAGAAAACCAACCTTTTGACCCTTGGGCCCGATTTCTGTCGAAACCATGCCATTTTAACCCCTCTCGCGCTTCAGTTCTTCATCTCCTCTCTACCCTCACCTCTCTCTGCAAAATCCGAAATTTTCCATCCTAAATCCGAGAGATTAACGCCTCAATTCGGTCTCTACAGAGCAAGAAGATCATCACCGAACTTCCCATCCATCACCCAACGCACGAGGTTAACCCGAGGTGAGTGAATTCGAGTTTAATTCGGAAGTCTGTTGACATGGGGTTTTGGGTTTTTGGGTGTTTCGTACCAAATTGATGTTTGATTCGTGTATCGAGAGGTGACATCGATGCTAGGGTGGGGTGATGTGTTCGGGAGGAGAAAAATATATTTACGCCGGATCCGAGTGGTTGCAGAGTAGATGGATTCCGAGGAGAGAGGTGGTTGTGCTATGCACATGGGCAATACATTACCTATTCCGAGTGGTTGCAGAGTAGATGGATTCCGAGGAGAGAGGTGGTTGTGCTATGCACATGGGCAATACATTACCTATGCATGGTGCGTGTAGAGACGATTTGACGGACTCTGTCCTGCGACTTGTCGTACGGACTTGATTGTGATTGCTGCATGTTTATCGTGATTCCATGCTTCATTCCTGTTTATTAGTATACTAGTATATATATATATATATATATATATGTATTTGTTTTCCCTGGTCTCATGCGAATGGAACTCCGGGTTACGCCCGAGTTCACTCTCTAAGCAATTAGCTTAGGACGTTGTTACGCAACGTTTCAGGTCGTGAGCAGACATCGGAGACCTGGGCAGTGTACCACTACCGATCATGTATAATTACGTATTTTGATACAATTATATTTCGGGGAACGTTTTGTGTTATATCGGTGGTAGACTTTTTAAGGTTTGTAATAAGGTTATACTGCCACTTGATTATGTATAATTATAACTGGAAATAATGTATCATATATGTATGTACGAGTGTTTTCTTCCGCTAACTCTGAAAAGAAAAGTTTTAAATTCCCGCGGATTTTCAGAAATTGAGTTTTTATTTTAGTTGTCCATGTGATGCAACTCGTATTGCGGGGTGCGGGTTTCGGGCGTTACATAAAGGTGCTTGCAAAAGAACATCGAAAAGACGAAACCACGTCGCTAGTAGATCTTCTGAGGGGGACAGGGAGTAGCAATGTTGCAGCACTGAAAGTATGCATCGCACTATGCGAAGGATCTCCTTAAGCAGAATAATAGTCGGTTTAGGTTGCTCTCCATGCAGTCTTGAGTTGCGCTCACGCTAGGTGGAATAAACGCATGCTTGGAACAGAAGTTTCATAATGAGTCGATCATTTACCTAACCTTGACATCGGCCAGTCCAATCGAGGTGTTCGGGGAAGGGTAATCAATCCCTCCGGTGGAGCAAAGACTGTAATGATCCGAGGCCGCTACGGAATATCAAAGGTATCCTCGCACAACAACACAAGACCTTTTAGTTTGTTTTGTCCTCACTCGCACACATCCCGAAAAAATACTTCCTAAGAGATCACTCATCCTAAAACTACTCCAAACCGAGCACGCTTAACTTTGGAGTTCTCTCGAGATAGACAACCGAAAAGATAGATGCATTTTGTTGTTATGAGTAGCAAAAATCAATTCCCTTAAGTTATCTTTGATTGTGTAATCTCATACCTATATAACCCTCGGATAACTCTCATTCCGGTGCATTCGATTCATCCCTGTATCCCCTACCATAAACTCGTCAGGAGTCGTCTATTGTCCATGCCTCTCACACCGGCGATCACTCTCTACCCTCCTACGGTATCCAGATTGTCACAAAGACAGAGTGCAAGATACAAGGCCAGATTTGTTACGAGAAGTGATAGCGGAAAAATAAGTGGTCCAGGGAGAAGGCGTGCCGCGATAAAACGGAACCTAGACCGATCGGTCTAGGCACAAGCCCAAGACAGACCGATCGGTCTAGAGAAAGAAAGAACGAACACGGAAAAACGGGACCTAGACCGATCGGTCTAGGCCTCAGCATAGGCTAGACCGATCAGTCTAGAGAAGAAAGAGAGGTCTGCGAAAAATCAGCCCTAGACCGATATCGGTCTACCCCTAGACCGATCGGTCTAGATGAACTGGCAGATTAAAATCACGAGTTTCCCGATTTTTAGGGCATTCGAACATTTCCGGACTTAGGGATGAAAAGAGGCGACGGTTCTCTCTCATTTTGGAGACCTAGGGTCGAAATCTTGAAGGGAAACCAAAGAGATTTGCTGGAGATTGAAGATTGAAGATTTTAATGAGCATCTCTCTCCTCTTTCTCTCTATGTTCCATCTTGTAAATTTTGTGTTCTTGAACATTAGTGAGTAGTTTTCTTGTTGTGGGATGAGGGATTAGCCCTCATGTAAGGATGCTTGTATCAACCTTTGGACCCAAGATTGTGCTTTGTTTATGCTTTCAAACTCTTGCAATGAATGAAATTTTGTTCTTCATGTTTATCAATCGTCTGTCTTGAATGAATGGTTAGGGAAACCTAGGATTTGTTGAATTGAGTGATGCAATTGTTTGGGTTTGATTGCTAGAGTTCAATGAATGGTGTTCAATGTCTCCCACTTGATGAGAATTGCTGGTTTAGTGCTCTATGATGTACTGTTTATGAGCTTCATTTAGATACATTCGATGTATTGATACTTTCTATGGTTTATATGAGAGTATTTGATTCATTACATGTTCTTGCATACTAGATCTGTTATGAAATCCAT